GTGGAGATGTGCAGAGCTGGAGGTATTCAGTGTTTAAGAGCAGCAGACAGTGCTGAACGGCTGATTTAAGAATGCCCTTCAGTCACCAAAGTTCTGTAAGAGAACTTCCAAACAGAAACAGGATGTTTTTGAACATCAGTAAAAATAAAAGTGGTTGCATTCAGGAAAGCTGCACTGACACCTGCATTGGAAAAGAATGGGAGCCACCGCTGCCTTCTAACCAAAACGGAGACATCATCTTTATACCCCAATAAGCATTACAATCTGACACTGAAAAATACCTTTTTCTGCACCAAAAATTAAGGTTTTTTTAAAGCTTTTCTGCACCAGAAATCTTTTTGCCAAGCAGAAGATTGTTGGACAAGAAGAAGAGTGCGTTTGGTATTTCTGAGGATGGGCTGAAGGGGAAAAATCAGGATGTTTAAAAAAGTGCAGCTGCCTCTGGAATATCGTGCACACTTCAACTGATGACAGACACAAATAGGCCCAACTTCCATCCCTCTCCGACATTCAGATTTTGCTTTTGGCCAATTGCTATGCAAAGCTTAAGGGTTACTACACACAGATAGCTTCATCATCAGGCTGGGAGTTATCACGGAGAGTGTAATTATGATCATTAAATCCAAGGGTGCAAGAGATGAACAGGACAAACACGGGATCTTGATTGAGAGAGTTGGTGAAATTCATCCCCAACACCGAATCAGGAGCTGAAGGTCCTGGTGATTCTGGTCCCTTTTAAAATCCCAGCACCCCATGCACAGCTTCTCCTGATGTCTGTAGAGTGCTATGGTTCTTGGGGGAAGTTTTGACATACAGAAAAGGAAGAGATCCAGTTCTTTCTCAGATAAATGTGAGACTTGCCTTCACGTGTTCGCCATTAAAACATTTGTTAGATGTTGAGCTATTTATAAGGAAAATGGCAAATTTTTGAGTAAGTTGCAGGGCTACCATTTAATGCAAGATAACGTATTAATAGGATATGCATTTCTGTAAAGGTTTGTCAGAAAGAAGCTAATACTGCTTTATTCTCACTGCAAACATGACCCAAACCACTGCATTTTAGCTTTATGAGCTTCTAAATTAAAGTTTTCCTACTGGATCACATTCCCAAATTTATCCTTTGGGTCCTCACCTGGTTCACATGCAGGGAGAAAATGGTTGCGTTTTCTTCCCTCTCCTTCAGGTTTGCTGTTGAGACCTGTTCTTGCAGTAATACCCACCAGAATATCATTCTTTGGTCAAAAGAAAGTGTGTGTGGTACCTTAGATGGATGCTGTGTTTTAGAAATATAAGAACATTGTTGTTTAGAAAGTTTTCTCTGCAGATCAAGTGAGCCCTTAGTGACAAACATAAGGGAAGTGTTGATGCTCCTGGATAGTTTGCAGTCAGCCATGCTGGTGCAGAAATAAAGAATGGATGGTGACTTGGACAAATTACTGCATCTGAGAATCATTAAAATATAATTACAAAAAAGTATTTCAATCCCAAGAAAAATCACTCGCAGGGAAGTTCACCAAGGGATGTCCTAGTTCAGGGCATCAGCTTTTAGACTGACTAGGTCTAAACACCAGAGGAGGAAGAGCCTGTGCATCATTTTTCTCCTGGTTTTAAACATTTTCAAGCACATTACTTTGCTGCATACATCACCTTTATGTACTTACAGGTAAGACACCAAAAAGGTGATGAAGTTGAAGCCTGATTTTTGATGCCAGATCTCATTTACTTAATTCCTTATTAATTCTATCCCATCTAAAGCGTGTCTATTGCTAAGTAACATCAATTATTTAATAACAAGATAGCACAGTTGTAATTTTTGTGACTGTAGCAAAGAGGTGCACTACCCTTTGCATTGAAAAATATGGCTTTTTTATGGTTTTGTTTTGCTTTTACCTGGAGCAGACCCCACGCACAGTTACTGTGTTTTAGGAGGACCTGATATACAGCAAACCTTAGCAGCCTCTGAACAGCAGCAGGCTCAGCAAGAAGTCCCTGCAGCTTCTCTCCATGGGCTGTGGGAAGGCTGAAGAGCATAAAGAGGAAGAAGAAAAAGACCATCTACACTTCAAAGATTCCCTTCAGATGGAGCAGATAGAAAATCCACATAGATTACTGCACAAGCTGCAGGTGAAATTAAAAGTTGCCATCTCCACTGCACACATTTGCCTGAAGTATTCTCTACGTTTACATATTCTAGGGCGGACAAAACTGGAAAGATACACGGTGTGTTGGGTTTTTTCCAGTCTGGAAGTGCTGGGACTTTAAACTCAGGCTCTGTTAATACTGAGACCACATTTACAGCCCAAAGAATTATGTGTCCAGCGTGTAGCAATCTCGATGATATTCCAGTCAGGATGTGGGAGAGCCGCTATTAGAAACAAAGCAATCAATTGGCGGGGGCAGTCCCACAACGCTGCTTTCTGGCAGTCGTTTTCGGCGAGGGGTTGCAGCAGTGCAGATCAGCACCCAGCTGCAGAAAGATGCCCACAACCCCTGCGGTTGTTCGCGCCGACACTCGACTGCTGTAACTGTGGCTGAAGTGATACGAGCCATGACGAAAAGCAGACTGAGGGAAACCAGCATTGTTCCTCAGAGGTTTTATTAGCTGGAGCACAGGAATGCACAACCCACTGGGGTTTTTTTTGTCTCTTGGTATGAATCCAGCACGGCATCTCTGCTTGCTGCGCCTGCAGTACTGTCCTTACTGATTTAACAAGATTCAAACGGGCTCTTTAAAGCAGAACTCTTACAGTAAAGGCAATACATTCCAGTCTGACTTGTTTATAAAAATGTCTTGTCAAAAAAAAAAGTTACTAAAGCAGCAAATAATTTTTAGAAAATCAGTAAGAACTTAACACGAGTACAGAGTATCTCTAAGCTCCAGCCTTCCTGTATGCTCCAAGCACAGCAACCGTTGTTGCCTCCCCGTTTTCCTCCCATAACAGCTTCGCACCATCAATGTTGAAAGCTGGCGTTTCTGGAGAGGAACCATCGTCTACAGCCTCTGGAGAAAGAGAACAGGGGTGTTTAGAACCAGGCCATACCCAAAACCTCCCAGAGAAGAGAAACCTCACAGCCAGCCCAGCAACTTCTCAGGCAGCACTGAGGACTTCCCTCAGGCTGCAAGGGAACTGGGATGGTCCATGTAGGAGTTGAGGGTTTCACACCTTCACGCCTCACAAAAAAAAAAATAGAGGGACTTCTGCAGATGTTTTACGCTGAAAATGGAAATCCCTTTGCAACCTAATCTGTATTTTAAAATTATTTTTAGTGTCTTCATCCTGGACGCTGAAAACTTTCATTTAAATGTGATTTTATCTAATCCTTCTATATCAGCTAAAACCAAAGAACCCCCCCTGCCAAAACTTTACAGGAAGGCAAAAAAATTCCTGATTCCTATGTTCATTTAGACCAGTATAGGAATGAAAAAATGCTATTGTTCCAGTTGAAATTCCTCACTTGTACACACATTAATTCACTCTTACTGATCAAATGGGGCACACAAGGGGCAAGGTAGCCTTGGATACAGCAAAAGGAATAACTAAGTTTTGTGATAATGTTATTAAATGAAGGAGATCATCTCCTCCCAATATTTAAATTGGGATCAGACTTGCCAATACACTGGAGAAGAGATATCTACATCAGCAGCGTGTTACATCAGAGGGGAGTTCTGAGAAACGCAGTGTTTGAAACGCCTGCAGTTGCAGCACAGCGCTGGGGAAGGTCAGACGCCCAGACAAGTTTCCTATGGAGAGATGTGCCAGAGCCGGGGCTTTGAGTGCGATGCTCACACCCGAATCAGCTGGGGAAGCAGCCCTGGTGTGTGAGCAGCACAAGGAGAGACAACCAGGCAGACACATCCAAGGGCTGGGAGCCCAGAGGGGAGCAACCCCTCAGCAGAGCTCTGTGCTGCAACACATGTCTGTGAGACAGCTGACTCAGGGCTACCACAGAGTCACAGCGTGGTGGGGTGGGAAGGGACCCCTGGAGCTGGGGCTCCCCCAGTGCAACCCCTGCCAGAGCAGGATCACCAGAGCAGTCACACAGGAACACGGCCAGGGCTTTGGGTGTCTGCAGACAAGGAGACTCCACAACCTCTCTGGGCAGCCTGGGCCATGCTCCATAACCCTCACACTCACAAACTTTGGCCTCATCTTCAGCTTGAACCTCCTGTGCTCCAGCTTGGGACCATTGCCCCTTGTCCTGGCATTGGCCATCCCAGAGCAGAGCCTGGCTCCTTCCTCCTGACACTGCCCTTTCCCAATGGATCCCCAGGAATGAGGGCACCCCTCAGGCTCCTCTGCTCCAAGCTCAAGAGCCCCAGCTCCCTCAGCCGCTTCCTCAGCAGGAGATGCTCCACTCCCTCCAGCATCTTTGTGGCCCTGCATTGAGCTCTATCCAGCCGTTCCTCATCCTCCTTGAACTGGGGAGCCCAGAACTGGACACAAAATTGAGAATCTGCCCCCCATTTCCCATGGTGATTGACTAAAAGATTGGGCTGGTGGAAGGCACTCTGCTGAAAGCCAGAGGGAGAGGAGATGTGGAAGTGCTTCACAGCTCTGTTGGAGAGGGGATTGATCTCATGGGGCACAGCACCCCAAAAACCAGGCCTGGCAAAGCCCTTGATGAAAGGTGTCTCCTCTCTAATGCAGGCAATGCTGAGGAGCCAGTTATTGCAACAGGCCAAGGGAACAAGACATTGCTGTCCTCAGTGGTTTCATTTTGGTAGTGTTTTAGGTTCCCAACCAGGTTCAGACCCACACTGCAGAACACACCATAAAAACACACGTCCAGGCTCAGGCAGAAAGAAGAATAAATGTAGGCCCCACTCTACAAAGGATTAAAGTATTCAGAGCCGTATAAGACACTGAGACAGGGACAGCAGCTGAACCCAGATGCCCGAGGGTGAACGAGGGCTTAAATCCAAAATCCCCCATCGTACACGTAAGTGCCGATCCGCACGTTTCAGAAATCTCACACTTGAATGTGAGGCCTCACCTTCTTCACTGCTTTTCTCTAAAGAAGTCAGAAATCTCCTTGTGCCCCATAGCCTCTGCCTGCAAGGAGAAACATGAATAAATCCTGCCATCCTCTGCACCAGGACATGCAAATACGTACTTGTGGGAAGCAAGAATGTGTTACCACAAAATAATTACAATCCAATTGAAATTTTAATTCCTCTGACATAGATGAGAAAATTCTGGCTCCAACAATTTATTACTTCAGAACGTCTCCAAACTTGAGTTTGTAACAAACTCTAATCCAGTTTATAGTCCCCAAACCAGCATTTACTTTCCCCAAACTCATCCTACCCGACAGCGTGTGTCATTACTCACACAGCTGGCACACCACACGGAGCACAGCACACTTACTACTTGTAGGGAATTCCTGCCATCATAACCCGCTTGCTCCAGGTCCGCGCCAGCGAGGTACCAGGCGTACAGCCCCTCCACATCGCCTTCAGCTGCAAGGCTGGAGAAAAGAGTAATTCAAATATTGGTTCTCAACCTTTCGGTTCGTTTTCGTAATTACCTCAGTGGGCAGACGCTGAATGAGAAGGGGCTGAAGATGGCAGCCAGGGTAGAGGTAAGGGAAGG